GGGGATGCGGAAAGAGAACTGGACAAAAATCATGCTCCTGTGATGAGGACAGTGGTTGGGGAGTGAGGGCGGAGGTGGGGTGGACTGGGAGGAGGGGAGTTATGGGGGGAAAAAAGAGGAACAAATGTAATAATCTGAACAATAAAGATTTAATTATTAAAAAAATAAATAAATTGCTCATCAGAACACACAAAAAAAAGGCATAACATGCATAACTAGATTTTAATTTAAAAAAATATATATTTTATGATTTTTTTTACAGAGAGGAAGGGAGAGGGATAGAGAGCTAGAAACATCAATGAGAGAGAAACATTGATCAGCTGCCTCCTACACACTCCCCACTGGGGATGTGCCTGCAACCAAGGCACATGCCCTTGACTGGAATCGAACCTGGGACCCTTCTGTCCACAGGGCGACGCTCTATCCACTGAGCCAAACCGGTCAGGGCTAGATTTTAATTTTTTCAGTGAGATGTTAAAATCATATATTTGAAGTTCATTTTTTAAAAGTTCACTTACAAATTTATTTCATTCAGTAATAAAGTTCATATTTGTTTACTGGATATTAAATCCACACATGTTAAAAATCATAATATGACTATATTCTTAAAAATCCACAATAATATCACATTACTTATTTGATAACCCTAATTACTTATAGCATAGTTATCGAGCAGTAAGAACATCTTTGAGCAGCCAAAATACATGACACACTTTTCCACCTTCTAGCAGTGAACTCTTTGGATTCATATATACTGATCTCTATTTCATGACAAAAGTTGTGTAAAATAAGAACTCTAAGAAATTGAGAAGTCATTTGAAAAATAAATGGCTGCTTTTTGTTCACCTGTTTAAAATTGTTATTTTACCATTTATTGAATATCAGCATTTAATCCAAAATTCATAGGGGCAATATGAAAATAAATACCTTAGTACATCTGCAGTTTGTTTTACCTGAAATTTAATGACTACATTCTATCTAAACAATATAAATTTGGAAAAGTAAACTATTTTTTTTAATTTAATTATTCAAAGTTTTCTCATAGTTTTTAAAATTTCACTTTTTAAAGCTAAAAGTGATTTTTTGTCTCAAATGACTTCCATCATCATTGCTAATAGAGCAGAATGCTTTCCTCATTTCAATGGGCAGGAGTTCTCTTTTCAGAAGTCTTCTTTCCTCTAACTCCTTGATCTATACTAACAATAGTTCCCAATAGTAAGGCTAAAAATAAGTAATTTCAAGTGTATTAGTTAACTATTTTTTAAATTTCAAAAATTTTACAAATAACTCATCTTGGGACTTCTTCATGAAGTTTGGTGGTAAAACTTTCTAGAACATTGAAGAATTTGAGTTGCAATTAATAGAGTCCTTAAATTTTCTATTCATTTATTTAACCTTTATTTGGCACCAAGTATCATAGGATCAACAACCTTGATTGCGATCTAAATAATGCTACAAGAGTTTATTTAGATTTCTCATGAAAAGAGAATGAGAATATAAAGTCTTCTGATTTAAAGGGAAGGAGGACTTCAAATCATTCGCTTTAGTACTTACCTTAAACTTTCAAAATATTTTGATGTTTATGATCTCGTTTTTCCATGTATATGTATATGTATATGTAGATACATATACATAGAAAGAGAGACAGACAGAAACCAGGGGAGGAGGGATAGATAGTGAGCATCTGTTGGAACTCAAGCACCAAGGATACCTTTCAAATAAAACAGACAAAATGCCTGCTCTTTTGGAGCTCTTGTTCTAATAAGAAAAGAGACTAAAAAAATGAATTTTTTTTAAAAAGGGGAGAGCTTATGTTAGTGCTAAAGGAAATAGAGAAAACAGTGGTAAGTAAGATAATAGCAGATGGCACCCTATTTTACATTAGTTGACCAGGGAGGCTTCTCTGAAGCAGTGACTCAGCTTAGACTATCAAGCAATGACTGTTATTCCAAAAGCTCTTTTTGATAATTCAAGATGCTGTTGTACTTAGCGATATTTAAAGTATGTTTTCTTTGTGGCATATTTTATATTTATGCTATCAAATTATGGCTGAGAAATTGAATATTCAAAATCTGATGTTGAAATATTTATCTGTAAAACTGACAATATATTTCAAGGAAGAATAAAAACACAAAAACTGCCCTAACCGGTTTGGCTCAGTGGATAGAGCGTCAGCCTGTGGACTGAAGGGTTCCAGGTTCGATTCCGGTCAAGGGCATGTACTTTGGTTGCAGACCCTAGTTGGGTAGCTCAGTTAGTTAGAGTTGGGAGTGTGCAGGAGGCGAATCGGTTTCGGGTGATGTGATATATTATCTGTAAAACTGACAATATATTTCAAGGAAGAATAAAAACACAAAAACTGCCCTAACCGGTTTGGCTCAGTGGATAGAGCGTCAGCCTGTGGACTGAAGGGTTCCAGGTTCGATTCCGGTCAAGGGCATGTACCTTGGTTGCAGGCCCTAGTTGGGTAGCTCAGTTAGAGTTGGGAGTGTGCAGGAGGCGGCTGGTTGATGTTTCTCTCTCATCGATGTTTCTAACTCTCTATCCTTCTCCCTTCCTCTCTGTAAAAAATCAATAAAATATATTAAAAAAACAACACAAAGAACCTCATAAATAGACAACAATATGGTTATTAACAGAGGGACATGGGAGCGGGGGAGGCAAAAGATGGTGTGAAGAGGGTATAAATGGTGTTGGAAAGAGACATGACATGGCGTGGTGAACACACAGTGCAATATGCAGATAATGTATTATAGAATTGAACACCTTAAACCTTTGTAATTTTATTAACCAATGTAACCTCAATAAATTCACTAAAAATAATAAATAATAAAGCAATTAATATAAAAATGTTTCTCGTTTTAGGAATGGTGGAAAACACCAGACATAATTGGAGTGGATTGGATAAGCAAACTGATATACAGAATTTGAATGAAGAAAGAATCTTAGCTTTACAGCTTTGTGGGTGGATTAAGAAAGGAACAGATGTAGATGTAGGGCCATTTTTGAACTCCCTGGTACAAGAAGGGGAATGGGAGAGAGCCGCTGCTGTGGCATTGTTCAACTTGGATATTCGACGAGCAATCCAAATCCTGAATGAAGGGGCATCTTCAGAAAAAGGTATTGGGTTATATTCTATGGTACTTGCAGTTCATAGATTCCTTTAAAAAAAAAAAAAAGATACAACTTTCAAAACATTAATCAGTTAATATTTTCGTGTAAATTTTTTTGAAAGAGAAATTAGCACAGTACTGTATCTATAAATATTAGCTCTTCCCTTTTATTTATGCCTTGGTTTAACTCTGTAAAAAAGAAAATGTGTCTTAATTGTCCTTTACGGAATGCTCAAATGTGTCCATTTTCAAAGTTTTTTCTTTTAAAAATAGCTCACGTACATTTTAAAAATGTATTTTCTTGGAGATTAGGACTACTTTAGTTTGCAAGCATTTTTATGGTGAACATTTGAGTGTATTTTATTTTATACTAGAGGCCCAGTGCATGGATTCGTGCACTGGTGGGGTCCCTCAGCCTGGCCTGTGCTCTCTCGCAATCTGGGACCCCTCGGGCGATGTAGTACTGTGCGAAACAGCAGGCAGCCAGGGAGGAGCCCGAGCCCGAGCCTGGGCCTGGCGTTGTACCGCTCCCATTCATCCCATCCCCGCTGCGCCTGCTGCTGCTTGGTAGCGCTGCCGCAGAAGTGGGAGAGGCTAGCGCCACTGCAGCTGCGCTCACCAGCCTTGAGCCTGGCGTCTGGTGCCTGTCGGTCAGGTGAGCGGCACTCCCGCTGTGTGGGCACACTGACCACCAGGGGGCAGCTCCTGCGTTGAGCATCTGCCCCCTGGTGGTCAGTGGTGTGTCATAGCAACTGGCCGGTCGTCTGGTTGTTCGGTCGACCGGGTTGCTTAGGGTTTTATATATATAGACTTTATTTTTTGAATAGTTATTGGTTGACTTTTAGGAAACTCTACACATTTTTAGTTAGACTGTAGATTCTTATAAAAATGACATATTTGATTTGCAGAAGTTTTTCTACTTGAGTCTGGTGATTTAAACATAATTCCCACTTAATATTTTTTAGAAAGGAATAAACAGTGAAATGTGATAAAGTTTTAGTTTAATATTTTGCAAAGGAATACTTAGAGAAAGAAATCTTAATCCAGAAATTCAGTTTTTCTCTTTAAACTATTTTTATTGATTAATTTTATTTTAATTTTTACGTGTCATCCTTGCACAGGGGCCATGCTAATCTTCTCTGTATTATTTGAATTTTAGTATATGTGCTGCCGAAGTGAGCACATAATTTTATTTTAATATTTTTAGAGGGGAAGAGAGAGAGAGACTGACAGATACTGATTTATTGTTCAACTTATTTATGCATTCAGTGGTTGATTCCTGTATGTGCCCAGAACAGGGATTGAACCCACAACCTTAGTATATTAGGACAACTCTAACTACCCAACGAGGCCCAAAAATTCAGTTTTTTTCTTATCAGTTTTCATATCACTTGAAAATGCCTAGAATGTATATAGCAGGGGTCCTCAAACTTTTGAAACAGGGGCCAGTTCACTGTCCCTCAGACCGTTGGAGGGCCGGACTATAGTTTAAAAAAAAACTATGAACAAATTCCTATGCACACTGCACATATCTTATTTTGAAGTAAAAAAACAAAACGGGAACAAATACAATATTTGTATTTGCATGTGGCCCGCGGGCCGTAGTTTGAGGACCCCTGGTATATAGCTACTGATTTTTAATATACTTGGAAAATTATTTCTGAGTAGTCAGAAAACTTAATTTCTATTTGCTGGTCCACTTAGAAACCTTTACAGTTTTGTTGTACCAGAGAGAAAAACATGAAATTAACTGTAATATATTTACTTGCACACTAAAAGTTGAAAAAGCTAATGTTTTGTTCAGATTGGCATCTATTTCTTCATTTTTGTTATAAGTCTTCCCCATTTGAGTTTGCAATAAAAGACATGTGATGCCCTGGCCAGGTAGCTCAGTTGGTTAGAGCATCATCCTTATGCACCAAGGTTGCAGGTTCAATCCCTGTTCGGGGCACATGCAAAAGGCAACCAATGAATGCATGAGTAAATGGAACAATAAATCCTTGTTTCTTTCTCTCTATCTCTCTCCTCTCTAAATCAATCAATCAATAAAAGAAGACTTGGTGATGGGGGAAACAATTGATATTTAAGGCCATTTCTAATTAGAATTTTGCTGTGACCTGAGAGCATGATACTTTCCTATCATGTGGAATATTGGTAGATTTGAACACCCCTACTAACAGTAGGGGAAAATTTCATTCTAGTGATTTTAATATTTTAGTTAAGAACTAAAGGAAAGATTGCTCTGAGTCTAATATTCCTTTCCATTTGGAAATAATTTGTTCTAAGCAGGATTCAAAGAAAATATTCCCTTTTTTTGGTATTAATTATTAAAGTCTTTAAATAGTAGGCAGAGAGCAAGCACAAAGTACTTGGGGAAAGTGTTTATAGACATTAAGAGCAAGGCTATTAAGGACAGAAGGTGGGAAATCCTGTTTTATTTGAAAAAGAAAAAATAATTAGGATCAGAAAACAAAACTGCTATGATAAATGTAAAAGTTAAAGGTCAATTTAGTTTTCTCTTTTGATGCTGAACTTGTTAGAAGTCTAGACAGCCATAGGGTTGACTTCTAGGGTTGACTTCTAGGTTAGCAGCTTATCAGCAGCCACATAAATTCCAAGAATAAATGTTTAAAAGTGTTTGTAACAAATGCTTTTTTTCAAATGTGGTAATACTGATAGTTTTGCCCTAGAAAATTTAAAAGTATAATACTATAATAATGCTGAAGTATTGGTTTTTATTACCTTGTAGTTAAAACATAAATATATGCATTATGTATTTAGGAATAGGACAGTGATGGCGAACCTATGACACTCGTATCAGAGGTGACACGCGAACTCATTTTTTTGGTTGATTTTTCTTTGTTAAATGGCATTTAAATATATAAAATAAATATCAAAAATATAAATCTTTGTTTTACTATGGTTGCAAAGATCAAAAAATTTCTATATGTGACACGGCACCATAGTTAAGTTAGGGTTTTTCAAAATGCTGACACGCCGAGCTCAAAAGGTTCGCCATCACTGGAATAGGAGAACAAAATTATTTTGAAAATTACAGTCCCAAGATATAGTAATATTTACTATCAATGCTTTGAAATGATAGGGTGGCTTCACTTTTTTTTCAGTTAGTTCCTGAGTAGTAACATACGTTATAGGAACCTGCCTGGTATGGGGACTTGAAAATTAAGAGGTACTTGTCCTTTATAGGATTTGCAATATGGACAAAAGTTTTATAAGAATGGAAATTTTTGCTTGTAGTCCTTTTCAAATTTTCCAGCCTGAATCAAAACCCTTATTCTAGTGAGCTTATTTTTTGCATATAAAATTCAATCTCTGATCTTTATTTGTTTATGGTTTAAGAACTGAAAGAAGGCAGTATTAAGCTTTTGATCACTTTGATTAGCTGGTGTTTTTAATATGCAGGTGATCTGAATCTCAATGTGGTAGCAATGGCTTTATCGGGTTATACTGATGAGAAGAACTCCCTCTGGAGAGAAATGTGCAGCACTCTACGATTACAATTAAACAACCCATATCTGTGTGTCATGTTTGCATTTCTGACAAGTGAAGCGGGATCTTATGATGGAGTATTGGTAAGCTAATTTCTGTTTCATAAGGCTCTCTTTTTAAGATAGGAGTTTTTATCTAGCTTGTTAAAATTTTCAAATGTCTGTTGCATAAAAATTCTGTTATAGTTTGGTGCATTTTCTATTATTTAAAATAAAATATCTTAAACATCTTTGGAGCAGCTATTCTTGAATGTGACTGCCAACCTAGAGTTAGCTGATAGCAAACTGAACTTGATTTTTAAAATAATTTTAGTAATATAATTTCCAGACATAGAAGGAATAGAATTTTATCCTTTAGCTTAAGAACTGAGCTCTAGAACTCTACAACTATATAAACATAAATTTTATATTGAAATACAATTTTTAAAAGTGTGTGTATGTTTCTCATTTTTGTTAAGTGAACCAACACATGATCAGGATGACCACATCTTATCTGACTTAGTATTTGTCATTCTCAGACATGTTCTAGTTTAGAAGATAAATTATATGATCACACTACTTACAGTGGCTATTTCATTTTTTCATTATTTGATCTTTTCATTGCTATTTTTTTTCTCCTCTGCTTTAACCACCTATGACCACAATAACCACATAGGTTCTTTATCACAATGTTGGGAAAGAAAGAATAAAGTGAGATTTGCTTATCAGTTTTAGTTTTTGTGTTTTAAACTTCACATCAGTACCACAACTTTCTTTGTTCTGTTGTGCTTCTTTCTAGCACCAAGAAGAGCTTTCTGACATGAAAGTTGATTTCTTTTTGACATTATAGCATTTTTTATAAAATACACATTGCTTGAATAATTGATTTAAATGTTATTCCCTAACAATTTATAAAATCATGTATTTTATTGAGGTCTCAATGAAAATTTTAATAAATGTTAGTATCCATTTTGGCAATTCCTTAGTTTATAGATTTTGCCCATTATTTTAAATAATTTGCAATTGGACTTTTCTGACAACTCAGGTTAATATCCGAGAGCATATTGGGGTTCTTTTTGTTTTTACTATTAGTACTCTTTTTTGTTAAATAGAAGCCTTTAAATGTTGCATCTGGAAGAAATAAAATGATACTTTCAGGAAGTACTGGAGAATGATAAGGACTAGAAAAAGAAATGGATTGTTCAAATTTTGAATTGATAGAGAAGTATATTGTTTAAATATTAAATTCTGTATTTTAAATTAAGTGACCTATTATAAAGACCCTTCTTTTCATATAGCTAAATTTGGTTTATTAGGTAGGGGTATCTTACCTTGAGTATCATCTTTCCAAACTATTTCAAGAGTGTACCTAATATATTTAATGTGTAAATAATTATAATTAATGTTTTTCTTTTTAAAAATTGTTAAGTTGCAGTAATCTAGTAAAAGGTACTGACTTGGGAAATCAAAAGATGAAGGTCTGAATTTTTGCTCTGTTACACTTACCTTAACTTTAGGGATTTTAGTTTTGTTTTTTTTTATATATATTTTATTGATTTTTTACAGAGAAGAAGGGAGAGAGATAGAGAGTTAGAAACATCGATGAGAGAGATCGATCAGCTGCCTCCTGCATGCCCCCCACTGGGGATGTGCCCGCAACCAACGTACATGCCCTTGACAGGAATCGAACCCGGGACCCTTGAGTCCGCAGGCCGACGCTCTAGGGGGATTTTAGTTTTGTCTCAGCTATAAAGTGGGACAGATAATATTTATAAATCTTTTCAGATAAAAAATTTTAACACATGAAACTGAAACTAAAAGTTACATCCAGCTTGTATCAAACATGTTCCCCTCTTTAGGCAGAACCCTAGAAAATACTTTATATTTGCAAAAACGTACTAAGATATGTATCGACTGAAGTGGTGTTTTGTTTAAAGGAGGAAAACTATAATTCATAGAATGACTGACTTTAATGGAAATAGGGTTTTTTCCACCTTTAAACAATTTTTTACTTAACACAAAATTAATTGTACCTTCAGTCATAGTAAGCATTTTTCAAAATATTGTTTTACAGTGTTGACAATTTCACACAAATTTAAGTATTTATCCTATGCCTCTGAAAATTTTGACACAAACTACCTAATAGTATTTTACTATAGGCACAAAATTGTGTGTGTTTATTTATAAAGGTATGTTTTAAAACTTATCATTTTGTATTTAGAAATATGTGTTGATTTTTTTTTTCTAAATCTATCCTAGTATATTCATACTAGTATATTCACTGGTAATTCACAGATTTCCTAGACTTGTTGGTTTCTCCCAAACTAGTTTCTGTGATGGAAGGAATACATGACATCTTAAACTTGACAAACTGTACATCATTGTTTATATTCTGCTGGCGATTTATAAGACTGAACTAGAATTTTTTTAACTGAATTTATCAATATATAAGAGATAAATTTTTACTTCATAAGGACAGTAACTTTAGCAGAGCATTTCTTGAGAGTTATATTAAGTAAATCATCTTAGATGAAATAAGTCAGATAACTGCCATATGATTTTGCTTTCATATGGAATCTAAAAAACAAAATAAACACTCTTACATATAGAGAACAAACTGATGGTCGTCATATGGGAGGTGCTTGGGGAACTGGATGAAAAAACTGAATAGATTAATGAAGTAACAATTGATAAT